CAGCATGGGAGACGGACCTGGTCACATACCGAAGATATATTGACAATTTATTTTTTATATGGAAGGGTTCTCAGAGTAACTTGGAGACCTTTTTAAGTAATATCAATAATGGGGTATTTATTTAAGTAGTCAATTCAGTACTGTTAGTATGAATGTCCTGGATCAGGAAATGTATGTAGAAAAAGGCACTTTAAAAACAGTACATTTCTTCAAAAAAGGAGAGATGAATAGTTATGTTTTGTACAATAGCGGACACTAAATAATATTCCGAAAGGGCAATTACAAAGGATAAGGAGAAATTGCACTGGCAAAGAAAAATTTGAAGAACAAGCTACTATCGTTTTAAATAAGTTTTCACAGAAAAAAATACCTTAATGAGTTATTAGACAAAGCATTTGAGGAGGTTAAATAATTAGGTCAGAACGATTTGATTTTTAAACAAAAAAAAATGTAATAACAATAAGTATGCTGATTCTAATCTAGTACCTTTGTTTTTTTTAATTTTAATAGTAATTGTAAGAAGGTAAAATCTGGCACCTTCTCAAAAAAGATAGGGAACTTTAGACCTTTTATTACGTTTACGTTTATTTTTAGACCTTTTTGTTATGTTTAGAGGAGCTCCAAGCCTCAAACGAATTTTAACTTTTAACCACCCTAAGGCTGAAATACCCAATGCCTTTTTAAATGCCAATAAAAAAAGGCTTTTATTTGTGTGGAAAATGCAGTAAAAACAAGACATAACAAAAGTTATTAACAAATTCAAAACAAAATATAAAGAAGAGGGATTTTTTATTAATGATTTTATAACATTCTAGTTTAATTTGGAGAGCTCTGATAAATTTGATATACCTTAGAGTTGGTATGAATTATTTTATATGCTCCTAACACACTCAATATGCTAAACCCCAGCACAAAAAACAAGATCAGAGAGAAATATATAAACAAGAGTGGAGCAGTATAGTGAAGTAAATGTTTAGGTGATAAGCCCAAACCAAATATAAATTGTGAAAGAGTTGTAGTAATACTTAGTCACTATTGAGTATTACTACAACTCTTTCACAATCTATATTTGGTTAGGGCTTATCACCTAAACATTTACTTCACTATACTGCTCCACTCTTGTTTATATATTTCTCTCTGATTTTATAACATGTTTTAGTAAAAATATTATTTATTTTTTAATCTGTCTGTGTGGATTACCATATGTTGGCCGGACTATTCGTCCTTCATAAAAGGATTTACAAACATGTTAATAATATCAAGAAAGGTTTTAAACAACACTGTGTTTCTGCACATTTAAAAAAAAAAACACCATAAAAAAAAATCTGAGTGGTTTAATCTTTCTAGGCATTCAGATGGTAAAGAAATCTTAGCGTGGTGGGAATTACATTTTAGATATAGGAAAAGAGGAAATGAAATGGGTTCACAAGTTGGAAACCTTAAAACCCAAGGGACTCAATGTTGAATTTGATTTATACAACTTTTTATAATTGTTTTACATTTTCATTTATCTCTAGGGTCCCTTTATGATTTTTATTAGTATCATTAATAGTACAATTAGATTGTTAATATTTGCACTATAGAGCATTTTGCCTTTATAGTAGGTTGATACTTGTCTTTTTTCCTATATATTTACGTTTTTGTAAGGTTAGAGTTTATAATTGATAGTGATTATTCATTTAATTGTGTATTTTTAGTGATATGCATGTATTTTTATGGTAGGCATCGATTTTATTTACACCTAAAGATAGATATTTAGGTGATATGCCCCATTTTTTATTTGCACAAGAACTTCTAATATAAGTTTTGTACTAGAACAAATCAACATGTGACTTTTTAGCTATCACACCTATTGGAGTGGATATAAATTCAGATGAACGGCAAAACCAAGACCTGATCTGAAGAAGCCGTCCAGGCGAAATGCATCATCACGCAACAAGACGCACGACGTCAGTACATGTTACACAAAGCTCGAGTTCCTGGAAGGATTTCAAAGTTTGTCAGCTGCCTGAGGACTGCAAGTGCTAGCCGTGAGTCAGATGGATCGGCTCGCCAACAGCAGGGATAGAGCTTGTTTTCCATTGTATTTTATGCTACCAATAAAGGACTTACTTGTATCCAGTTACTGTCCTGCTTGTCACATCGTGGTTCTGACTATAGGATACCTGAGCTGTCAAAGTTAGAGCAGACTTTCACTGTTCCCCTCTTGTGAGTTGCCTAATTCTCTTATTCATTTACAATTCCTGTTACAGAGTTACACTATTATTTTTTCTCTTTTGATTTTATGTTTCGAAATTGCACAACCTATACCCGGAATTTATATTTTACAGTTCTTTTCCTCAGGCTATAATAGAGTAAGTGCTCTTTCTTATCACCTTATCACAAAGTGCACTGATTGGATTTTGCACAAAACATTTTCTGATGCAATTGTATTTTTTTACACTGTGTATAACATTTTATAGATCACTTCAGATTGCACTTTCACAGTATTGTTCTGCTGTCACATATTAAAGAGCTGTAAATACTAAGCCTTCCTCCAATTTGGATGTCAATTCTCTCAACCCAAAAATTTAAATTGGGAGACTGCACTTTAAGCCCATATTTATTATTTAACTGTAACTTTAATTTATTTTGGTAAACAGCTGAAATAACAAAACTTGTGTCAGGGTCCAAATATTTATTGTATGTAATTGTTTGAGAACTGCAGATTTGTATAATTGTCCCTGTTTATAGCTCAAAATTATTTAAGAATGGTTCATTCTTTTTATATGGGCTATTTTTACTTGCATTTGTGATCATGTACAAAGTATCAAACTACCTGAAAATCATTTTGATTGTGTTTTTATACTTGATACACTTTTTTAAACTATGTGATTTGGACATAATTGATAAGAAATGCTATGATTGTGAATCAACAGTGCCATCCAGTGGTGAAAACGTTCACTTTTCATAAATCTGCACACAAAAAAACGTTTTTGTTTGTTTCTGTTCCAAGCTTTGTTAATAGTGATGTCCCGAACGGTTCGCCACTGACGGCGAACATATGCGCTGTTCGGTCCACCCCCTATGTCATCATTGAGTAAACTTTGACCCTGTACCTCACAGTCAGCAGACACATTCCAGCCAATCAGCAGCAGACCCTCCCTCCCAGACCCTCCCGCCTCCTGGACAGCATCCATTTTACATTCATTGTGAAGCTGCATTCTTAGTGAGCTGTCCAGGAGGCGGGAGGGTCTGGGAGGGAGGATCTGCTGCTGATTGGCTGGAATGTGTCTGCTGACTGTGAGATACAGGTTCAAAGTTTACTCAATGATGACGAATAGGGGGCGGATCGAACAGCGCATATGTTCGCAGTCCGCGGCAAACCGTTCGAGACATCACTATTTGTAAATAGTGCTTTAGTCCTGGTGTTCATAATTTTGATGGATTCATTTTTTTACTAGTAGAATGTACTCTTTTCAACATATTATAATGTTTACAGAAATACTGTAATTAAGAAAAAAAAACTTATGTTTTTAGATATTAACCTGTTTAGATTATTACGGCTATATGTATATATATATATATTTTTTTTATATATCAAAAACATATTGACACTGTGTTAATAAAACATACATTCCAGCTCAAGGACAGACTCCTCCCTACAATCTGATTTTCATTTGATGAAGTCATCAATCCTTATGTCTTTAGTCTAATCAGATGCTTCTCATAGAGAAGTATTGAGTACACAAAATGCATGCTTGTCAATTACTACAATCCCCCAGTCCATTATTTCGGAATTCTCTCATTCTTCATCTTTTCATTGAGAAGCACGAGATGCCTACAGCATTCTGCACCAGTATACTATGCATGCTGACACTGGATGTCAAACAGATTCAGTTATTTAATCAATTTGTTTCAGAAGCATCTAGTCGCTGACTGTCTGACAGCCATTAGTAGGCATGGAGTTGCAAAATGTAAACAGTGACATATCTGCAGGGCCAGATTAAGAACACATTGGGCCTGGTGCTGACAAATATGATGGGCCTAATTACGGAATCTTATCGACCTAAAACACTAAAACAGTCATACCTCCCAAGCGTCATGTATCTGATAGAGATGGTGCTGGAGGGAAACTCATAGGATGCAGCTATAGGAAAACACATACTCTATGCTAATCTCTCTCTAATTTATGCTTTGAAGTAAATCCATAACCCCTAACAGTAGTGTCCAGTGAAGCAGGAAGTCAATGGGTGGGGTAAAAGGGTGGGCCACTGACCAGACCTGCCAAAAGGGGAGAACATGCCCAAAAAGGGGGCATGTCTGTCTAAAGAATTTGAAGGCCAGCCTGGCATGAATGCATGTCAGGCTGCCGCCAATCCTGCAGGCTGTCCAACTAAGGGCATACTATGCAGACAGCACCCTGAGCTTGACATAAATGCATCTAATGATGCGCTCACTCCGTGCTTTCTAAGGACTGTCCCCTAGTACTCGCTGGTCCTCTTGTCTCCTTGCCTTCTTACTAGCAGGCAGAAGTTCCTGGTATATAGTCTGAGACAGAGAAAAGGTGTAAGTATTGAGTGTAGAAGAAAGGGGACATGCCACAGTGTTAGAGAGACCAGCGTCTGCATTACCTAAACTAATTTTATTGTCAGCTAGTCCACACAAGTTTTGTTCCCATACATCCCTCTTAAGCTTCCAAACTTAAAGGGACACTATAGTCACCAGAACAACTACAGCTTATTGTATTTGTTCTGGTAAGTAGAATCATTCCATTCAGGCCTTTTGCAGTAAATACTGTCTTTTCAGAGACAATAACTCCACTGGCCACTCCTTAGATGGCTGCTAGAGGTGCTTCCTGGGGCAGTACTACCTAGTGTGCAGCACTGCCATTCAGTGTCTCCACCCTCTGCATGCAGACACTGAACTTTCCTCATAGAGATACATTGATTCAATTTATCTTTATGAGGAGATGCTGATTGGCCAGGGCTATGTTGGAGTTGTGCTGGCTCTGCCCCTGATCTGCCTAGTTGACAGTCTCAGCCAATCTTATGGGGAAGTATTGTAATTTGCTCAGACCACCACTTCTGATGATGTCAGCAGACAGTCAATTCAGAGGCAGAGCCAGCAGCTGCAGACTTGAATACAAGTTATATTTTACTATACTTAGGGAGGCAAGAGGGGGCCAGGGTGTTGGTTTTAACATAATAGAGTCAGAAATACATGATTGTGTTCCTCACCCTATAGTGCTCCTTTAAGCAAGAATATGTGAAGAGTAGTTAGGGTTGCCACCTTTCTTGGAAAAAAATACCAGCCTTAATCATTTGTATAATCACAAGGAGTGACATCAGAGAAAATTCTGTAAAATCACCAACAAACTACTCACAGTTTGATTCTGCTGTATAGATGGATTGCTCCCAGTGTCTCAGTCTCGCAAGTCACCCAGTGTCTCAGTGTCCCTATGTATCACAGTGTCAGTGTCCCCATGTCGCCCAGTCCCCTAGTCTCCCAGTGTCTGTGTCCCCATTTCTCCCAGTGTCCCAATGGCTCAGTGTGTCCCCATGTCTCCAGGATACTGGGGACACTGAGAGACATGGGGACACAGACATTTAGGGAAACTGGGAGAAATGGGGACACAGACACTAGGGACACAGACACTGGGAGACATGGGGACACTGAAACATTTGGGGACACTAAGACACCTGAGGGGACACAGAGACATGGGAACACAGACACTGGAAGACTAGGGGACACTGGGAGACATGGGGACACTGGCTGGAAGACAGACACTTGGGGACACTGGGAGACATAGGGACAGTTGTGGGCATAGACATGGGGACACTGGGACATATAGGGACACTGGGAGACATGGGGACACTAGGCACACAGACACTGGGAGACATAGGGACACTGAAACATTTGGGGACACTAAGATACTAGGGACACATAGACATGGGGATTCTGGGAGACTTGGGGACAGTTGTGGACATAGACATGGGGACACTGGGTCATATAGGGACACTGGGATACATGGGGACACTAAGCACACTGAGAGACATGGGACACAGACACTGGGAGACTTAGGGACACAGACACTAGCAACACTGGATGGGGGACATGGGGACACTGGGAGAAATGGGGACATAGTGTCTCCGTGTCTCCCAATGTCTCACAGCATCCCCATGTGTCTCAGCACCCCCATGTGTCCCAGTGTCCCCTAGTGTCTCAGTGTCTCCATGTTTTCCAGTGTCCCCACCTGTCTCAGTGTTTCCAGGTCTCCCAGTTTCTGTGTCCCCATGTGCCCCCTAGAGTCTGTGTCCCCTAGTATCTCAGTGTCCCCATATGTCCCCTAGTGTCTCAGTGTCCACATGTGTCCCCTAGTGTCCCAGTGTCCCCATGTGTCCCCCAGTGTCCCCATCCCTCACTTACCTGAGCTGTAGAGCTGCTGTCTGGACTCTGTGCTGTGTTGCTGCTCCCCCACAGATCAGTGAGTAGCAGAGAGAGGCAGGGATATGCTGTAACTTCCTATCCCTGCCTCTCTCCACACACAGTGACCCCTACTGGCTGGTGCTGGTATTGTAGAGTAATCTCCATTTATTCTGAGAAAAATATCTGCATTTGTATTGCCAGTCTTACTGCAATACCGGCACGGCCAGGCAGCCTCAAATACCGGCTGTACCAGTAAAATACCAGTCAGGTGGCAAACCTAAGAGTAGTGTGTGTAAAAAAAAAAAAAAAAAAAATTTTTTATTTTTTATTTTTAAATGGGCCTAGTCCATGGGCCTGGAGCTGCAGCTCCATCAGCCCCTATGTTAATCCGGCCCTGCATATCTGAGAAATCGCACAGTTTTTCATTTTCTAGGCTGCAGGGACTTTGCCCACCAAAGTACTTAAGATTATTATTATTTACAACTTTAAATTCTAATTGTCACATTCCTATATGGCAGGGTAATTAGCGTTTGTAAAAATATTTGGTTTTTGTTTTCTTTTCTTCAGTGCTGCATATTTTCCCCTTGTGACTTTTTACATGGGAGGATATTGTATTATTTTAGCATAACGTGTTTTAAACATATGTTTTGCTACCAATATTAAGTGACTCTATCCATTTTTTTACCCTGTGTTTTAGGGTACCCATCAATCCTGGGATCACCTGAGAAAGAGAGAGAGAAAGAGTTATGCAATAAATGAACAATTTCAGCAAATTAAATCTAAATGGCCAACTTAAGGTTAAAATAATTGATCGGGGACATTCTCCAACTCAACCATAGTCACAGCTCAATTAGCTAGTCTCAATTTTTTCTATTTGGTTTTAATTTTCTAAAATTCAGTGTGGATAATTCTCACTAAAAATCTTATTCCAATTTATCTCATAGAAAAGGAGAAAATATTTAATATGTCATGCAAAATATGCAACATAACATATCATCTGGGACAAAGTCTGAAGCTATCATACACAAAACATGTTAAATGCTTATTCAACTTTAACTTAAGTAACTGCCATTTAGGAGTTAAATCACTTTATAAGTGCTTGGAGTGTCCCTTTAGGCTTTCTTCCAGCTATTGACTATCAACATCTGGTTACAGTGAAGTGACTAGGGATGGGCAAATATTTTGGTTCGATTCGGAAATTTGGGTAAGCAAAACAATTTGGCACTTCAGCAATTCGTTCCGGCACTTCCAAAATTCAGCAATTTGGGACTTTCGGAAATGCGGGACTTCGGAAATGCAGGACTTCGGAGATTCAGAACATCTCTAGGGCTCCCTAACCATAACCCTACCCCTAACCATACAACATACCCCTAACACTACCCCATACCCCTATCCATACCCATAACCACCACAACCACTTACACATCTATAGGGCTCCCAGTGCCCGGACTGCCATCACAACCACTTACACATCTGTAGGGCTCCCAGTGCCATGATTACCACCACAACCACTTACACATCTATAGGGCTCCGGAATGTCAGGAATTAGCTTATTGGTCAAGATTCCTGTCATCATTCACATAACTTTCTATTCCTCTCTTGTTTTGCCACTTTTCAGAAATCTGAAGAACTTCGGCACTTCCAAAATTCGGCACTTTGGCAATTCGGTACGGTTCGGCACTTTGGAAATTCGGACTTCTGACTGACCGATGTACACACATGCGAGGATGACAGAAGACGCCTTGTGCGTACTATATTCAGTGTGTTTATCCACTGTTAATTCTATGCATTTTTGTATTTGTATGATACAAGATGTTTTCATATAATACACAATTGCTTTTTGCATCTCTGTTTTCATTTTTCCAACAGTATCCACAGGACTTTATGACACTTCCCTGGCGTGCTGCTGGCTTTAAAAATCCATAAAAGCTCTCTCTGACACAATCCTGGAAAGATATCACATCAATGTTGTCGTCTTTACATTTTTTCAGTAGCCTAACTGAAAAATTGTACATTTGAATGTTTTTTCTCTCCTTGAATTTAATCTAAAGGCAATATCGAAATAATAAATCCACACATTACCTTAAAATGGAAGAGTGCTTTGTAGGATATGAATATCCATTTTGCTTAATATCCTAGCTGTTCATATAAGGGTTAATTTGAACCAAGAATAAATTTGGAATTGTATCTTCGATTCTGGGAAGAATTTATCCAATATCATTTACGAGAATGACCATACTGATTTTGAAATGCTCTTGTTAATTGTCCAAGATTAAGGTATTTGTAAATATCTTGTTTTGATCAAATATACATGTGTTATATAACATAGAATTATAATAAGAAACAGCTGCTCATAACTTGTGAAAAACAATGTCATTGTCACCAGGGCCAGATTAAGAACACATTGGGCCTGGTGCTGACAAATATGATGGGCCTAATTACGGAATCTTATCGACCTAAAACACTAAAACAGTCATACCTCCCAAGCGTCATGTATCTGATAGAGATGGTGCTGGAGGGAAACTCATAGGATGCAGCTATAGGAAAACACATACTCTATGCTAATCTCTCTCTAATTTATGCTTTGAAGTAAATCCATAACCCCTAACAGTAGTGTCCAGTGAAGCAGGAAGTCAATGGGTGGGGTAAAAGGGTGGGCCACTGACCAGACCTGCCAAAAGGGGAGAACATGCCCAAAAAGGGGGCATGTCTGTCTAAAGCATTTGAAGGACAGCCTGGCATGAATGCATGTCAGGCTGCCGCCAATCCTGCAGGCTGTCCAACTAAGGGCATACTATGCAGACAGCACCCTGAGCTTGACATAAATGCATCTAATGATGCGCTCACTCCGTGCTTTCTAAGGACTGTCCCCTAGTACTCGCTGGTCCTCTTGTCTCCTTGCCTTCTTACTAGCAGGCAGAAGTTCCTGGTATATAGTCTGAGACAGAGAAAAGGTGTAAGTATTGAGTGTAGAAGAAAGGGGACATGCCACAGTGTTAGAGAGACCAGCGTCTGCATTACCTAAACTAATTTTATTGTCAGCTAGTCCACACAAGTTTTGTTCCCATACATCCCTCTTAAGCTTCCAAACTTAAAGGGACACTATAGTCACCAGAACAACTACAGCTTATTGTATTTGTTCTGGTAAGTAGAATCATTCCATTCAGGCCTTTTGCAGTAAACACTGTCTTTTCAGAGACAATAACTCCACTGGCCACTCCTTAGATGGCTGCTAGAGGTGCTTCCTGGGGCAGTACTGCCTAGTGTGCAGCACTGCCATTCAGTGTCTCCACCCTCTGCATGCAGACACTGAACTTTCCTCATAGAGATACATTGATTCAATTTATCTTTATGAGGAGATGCTGATTGGCCAGGGCTATGTTGGAGTTGTGCTGGCTCTGCCCCTGATCTGCCTAGTTGACAGTCTCAGCCAATCTTATGGGGAAGTATTGTAATTTGCTCAGACCACCACTTCTGATGATGTCAGCAGACAGTCAATTCAGAGGCAGAGCCAGCAGCTGCAGACTTGAATACAAGTTATATTTTACTATACTTAGGGAGGCAAGAGGGGGCCAGGGTGTTGGTTTTAACATAATAGAGTCAGAAATACATGATTGTGTTCCTCACCCTATAGTGCTCCTTTAAGCAAGAATATGTGAAGAGTAGTTAGGGTTGCCACCTTTCTTGGAAAAAAATACCAGCCTTAATCATTTGTATAATCACAAGGAGTGACATCAGAGAAAATTCTGTAAAATCACCAACAAACTACTCACAGTTTGATTCTGCTGTATAGATGGATTGTTCCCAGTGTCTCAGTCTCGCAAGTCACCCAGTGTCTCAGTGTCCCTATGTATCACAGTGTCAGTGTCCCCATGTCGCCCAGTCCCCTAGTCTCCCAGTGTCTGTGTCCCCATTTCTCCCAGTGTCCCAATGGCTCAGTGTGTCCCCATGTCTCCAGGATACTGGGGACACTGAGAGACATGGGGACACAGACATTTAGGGAAACTGGGAGAAATGGGGACACAGACACTAGGGACACAGACACTGGGAGACATGGGGACACTGAAACATTTGGGGACACTAAGACACCTGAGGGGACACAGAGACATGGGAACACAGACACTGGAAGACTAGGGGACACTGGGAGACATGGGGACACTGGCTGGAAGACAGACACTTGGGGACACTGGGAGACATAGGGACAGTTGTGGGCATAGACATGGGGACACTGGGACATATAGGGACACTGGGAGACATGGGGACACTAGGCACACAGACACTGGGAGACATAGGGACACTGAAACATTTGGGGACACTAAGATACTAGGGACACATAGACATGGGGATTCTGGGAGACTTGGGGACAGTTGTGGACATAGACATGGGGACACTGGGTCATATAGGGACACTGGGATACATGGGGACACTAAGCACACTGAGAGACATGGGACACAGACACTGGGAGACTTAGGGACACAGACACTAGCAACACTGGATGGGGGACATGGGGACACTGGGAGAAATGGGGACATAGTGTCTCCGTGTCTCCCAATGTCTCACAGCATCCCCATGTGTCTCAGCACCCCCATGTGTCCCAGTGTCCCCTAGTGTCTCAGTGTCTCCATGTTTTCCAGTGTCCCCACCTGTCTCAGTGTTTCCAGGTCTCCCAGTTTCTGTGTCCCCATGTGCCCCCTAGAGTCTGTGTCCCCTAGTATCTCAGTGTCCCCATATGTCCCCTAGTGTCTCAGTGTCCACATGTGTCCCCTAGTGTCCCAGTGTCCCCATGTGTCCCCCAGTGTCCCCATCCCTCACTTACCTGAGCTGTAGAGCTGCTGTCTGGACTCTGTGCTGTGTTGCTGCTCCCCCACAGATCAGTGAGTAGTAGAGAGAGGCAGGGATATGCTGTAACTTCCTATCCCTGCCTCTCTCCACACACAGTGACCCCTACTGGCTGGTGCTGGTATTGTAGAGTAATCTCCATTTATTCTGAGAAAAATATCTGCATTTGTATTGCCAGTCTTACTGCAATACCGGCACGGCCAGGCAGCCTCAAATACCGGCTGTACCAGTAAAATACCAGTCAGGTGGCAAACCTAAGAGTAGTGTGTGTAAAAAAAAAAAAAAAAAAAATTTTTTATTTTTTATTTTTAAATGGGCCTAGTCCATGGGCCTGGAGCTGCAGCTCCATCAGCCCCTATGTTAATCCGGCCCTGATTGTCATGCCCATATGCTCATTTTTCCCTTCCCATCCTGCTATGAAAATGGGGTATAAATATAACTGACGTATGAATACAATTTGAATTGGTTATTAAACACGTCTCTGCTATTCATTTCCAATTTCCAGAGCTCTGAATGAGTTGGCAAATATCCATCATCCACAAAGGGCCCGGGCTGATTTTATCCCCAACAAACTGGTGTCAGAAGTTTGGGTGCAATTGGGAACGGAATTACAGGTAAGAGGATCTTTGACCCCTTGGGGACACAACTTCTGGACATGACGGAATGTTTCTGTCGTGTGTCCTTAAGGGGTTGGGGACCTTTGCCTGTTCTGCCATTCTCCCACACATTGCATTTCTTGTTTTAATGGGGTTTTTCACTATTTAAGTTTTTAAAGGGGATTTTCACAGGATAATGTCTTTGGTAGACATGGTATTTTAAGTCTTAGGTAGACTTCTATTACTCCATGGGTTGTGCACAATTCCTCTTTGGTAAGAGGTTCACCTTTGGCCAGGTGTTAAAAAGATTTTCAAGCCTTTGGCAGGCTGTCATGTCCTGTGATGCACATTTACATATGGGTTTTGTAGACTAAAATGGTTTTTAAAAAAAAAAAAGGGGGCTAAAAGGGAATATTGTTTAAACCCGGTATGATGGATGTTTGGCATTACTCCGGCTTGCTAATTTATGTGCTATTTTATGATGTGCAACGCTGATTTTAAGCATAAAGTCTTAATTGAGGGAATGTAAAAAGTACATGTAAAGGTGATGATGAATAAGAAAAAAAAATAGAGGTTATTTAATATAATACATGTTTTTTGACTTTTACTTGAAAAATCTTTTACTCATCTACAAAAGCGAATGAAAAAAAATGCTAAATAGATTCAAAATTTTGTCCTGAGTTTAAAAATACCTAGTGTTTACGTGCTTTTTTGCTTTTTTTTGCATGTTATGGGGCTATAGGTACAAGTAGGATATTGCGGTTTCAAAACATACATTTTTAAAATTTATCAATAGTGACATTGTAACACTATTATCTGTCCTAAATCTCTGAATAACACCCCACATGTACATATTTTTTTTAAAGTAGACAACCCAGGGTATTCAATATGGGGTATGTCCAGTCTTTTTTAGTAGCCACTTAGTCGAAAACGCTGGCCAAAGTAAGCATTCATATTTGTTTGTGTGTGAAAAAAGTAAAAAAACTAAATTGAACGCTAATTTTGGCCAGTGTTTGTGACCAAGTGGTTACTAAAAAAGACTGGACATACCCCATTTGCAATACCTTGGGTTGTCTTCTTTTGCAAATGGTATGCCATCATGGGGTAATTCTCATTCCTGGGCTACCATACGCTCTCAAAGGCAACGTAACCAACCTGGCCATTTTCAATGTAAAAATATTTGACCCATATATTTGACCTTGTAACTTTCAAAAATGCTATAAAACCTGTACATGGGGGGTACTGTTTTACTGGGAGACATCGCTGAACACAAATATTAGTGTTTAAAAACTGGAAAACGTATCACAACAATTATATCATCAGTAAAAGTGCTGTTTGTGTGTGAAAAATGCAAAAAAAGTAACTTTCACTGACAATATCATCGCTGTGATATGTTTTACTGTTTTGAATCACTAATATTTGTGTTCAGCGAAGTCTCCCGAGTAAAACAGTACCCCCCATGTACAGGTTTTAGGGTGTCGTAGAACGTTACAGGGTAAAATACAGTGCTAGCAAATTAAATTCTCTGGAATTTCGGCCTGGGTTGGCAGGCAGGTCCCTCAAATTGCAATCAATAAAATTACTGAATTATGTAAAAATATTACATAAATACGCACGTAGAATTTAAATATATATGCATATTTATATATTTGAAGTCTACGTGTATATTTATATAATTATTTATGTAATTTTGTATATGGACGTATGTATATTTCTTATTATTTTTATTTATTTTTATATACATAGATATATATACAAATTCATTCTAAGTGTATTTTGATATAAATATATATATATTAATTTTAAAATACAGTTAGAATAAAATTTCATATAGCTATATAATTTTTTTTAAATTTTTATTATTTAAAAAAATTATTTAATTTAAATTACTTATTATTTATATTTTATAATAATATATATATACAATATATATAGTTATTATATATATTATATATATACGTGTGTAATTTAATTATAAGTGTATTTTTATATTAATATAAGTACATATTAATATAAAAATACACTTAGTATGGCATTATATATATGATATATAGACATATATTATATAGATATAATATATGTCTATATATCATATATACACATATATAATTATTTATTTATTTTTTATTAACATTAACTTTATTTTTTTAATTGATTTTACACTAGCAGGGAGACTGGCTGTCAGCACAGGCAGCCCCCCTGCAGGCAGACACATGGACACCTATTGTGACCATGTGATCGCTGTGTTGAGCGATCACATGGCCACAGGGGTCCTAATCTGCCGTGGGGAGACTGTCTGGGCTGCAGACAGTCTCCCCACAACCGGAGCCACGCTGATCGCCGCCGGGGGAACGACGGCGATCAGGTAAGTAGCTCTGACCATTAGGACGGTTCAGGACCGTCATCGGTCGGCAACGCAAAAATGCAGATGACGGTCCTGAACCGTCCTCGGTCCTTAAGGGGTTAACATGGGAGTAGTATAAATATTTTGAGTCTTTGAGAGTTCTGACAAATGCAGGTGATACCATGTCTGTGTAATCTGGTACAAATGTTCTATAAGCGTATAAGAGAGAAATTCCATTGACAGGTTTCATATGTTGCAACTGGTTAATGCAAGTGTTATACAAATGTTTAAGTCAAACGCGTTATATGGCCGTTCGGGATCCCTTCTGTAAAAAATAAAAAATAAGTCCTTTGGCACCAAAACTCTTAAATAAATCTGATACAAACTAAAATTGGTATACCCTACAATAATATGTTCTGAATACAGCTGTTAGAAGTTTATCCTGTGTGAATGGTGATTGTGATACATGTGTGCTTTGGTTACTTATTTTGAAGTATGCAGTTTAATGTATGTTAATGGGTATTTTGCTGTGTTATTTTAAATTATATTTGAATAAGTTTGTCTTAGTATTAATACAGATGGAAATGGCAGCGTAATAATCTATTAAATAACTGATTTATTATTGAATACTGGTCCAAGAGCAATATGAGTTGTAGTCTTAAGAAAGAAAAAAAGGGGGGAGTCTGTTTTTGTAAGTTTTAGCTGATTTCCAAAATTCTGTTGCAATAATGGACTTCCTGCCAAAATTCGACTTTCCTGTCCAGTTGCCAGGTGCTCTGATCTAATCTTAAAGCAGTACTGCTTGCATAGTTTGCAGACATGCATAATGCACAAACATGGGAACCTATATTATTTCTGGCACTATAGTGTGACATTTATTAATTTATTTTGGATTGAGTTAATTGCCTGGCCATTAATATGCTTTTTGTATTGGCATGTCTGCTGGATATCTGCTACATGTTTTCTGTACTATAAGATGTAGTGTGATATTACAATGAGTATGAAGAATATTTAAAGAATATTTGCATGTCATTAACGCAAGGCTTTAGTGTCTTTTTCAACAGATTAAAAAACGCTGATCAGCCGACAAGAAAGGGGCCCCTGGGAAAGAAAAAGAAAAAAAAATATCATCTGCTTTTCAAAATCGTTTCCAATTTTAAATGGCTCTTTCTCTCTCTCCAAATTATTAGGGGAGTATTTAGAGTTAAGTCTACTTTTAAAGTGCATTGCATTATTTAAGAAAAAGAAAAATTTGTTATCTTTAACATAAACAATTGTTATGTTATATGGTTATATAACAAGATAAATTATGGATGTATAGTATAGGTTTTTTCCAAGATTAAGATTCATCTAGTATGCCTCATTGATTATAGCAAAATTATGAAATGGTATTTTTAATAGATCAGATAATTTCTTTTGAAGCAATTCTAGACTACTGTATTATATTTGTATTGGTATATTGAAAGTATTTTGCAGACCCAGAAGAGAATAAATAATATAATAATTATAAAAGGAACCATACTATGGGAAGAGGTCACCCTATTAAATCGCTAAGGGGTTAAACTCATTTTTGATAAGCATATACAATTTAGTTTTTGTGGTTAGAATTTTTGATACTCAATTTGAACTCAATTGAAGTATTACAACCATATGCTTGCAGGTATAGGAAACAGCTGCAATATGATTTTAATATTTGCAATATATTAGTGTTTTCTGTATTCTGACAATGGAAAATTACCTAACCGCATGTCTGCATTACACCTATGACCAAGACTGTCAGTATTGCAAACCCTATATGAAGACTCTGCTTTCACTGTTTATGTATACACCCCTAGATGACCGTGCTATACATGCACAATAAATCTTCAAAAGCTTATTAATATTATATCTGTGTGGTACACAAAGAGGTGTACACAAAGAGGGGGTGTGAGTTAGGTCATCTCGACTTGCATATGGAATATGCTTCCTCCTTGTTCACTTTTGGTCAAACTGTTGGTCTGTGACTGGCCCACTTTGACCCCAAATGAATTTCTTGGGAAGATTCATGAGAAAGATACAGCAGGTTATTTTGATATAAAGAAAGAGGGAAAAGTATGTTGTATTGGTCACAAAAGGATTGTGATCTTAAGCAGGCGAGACAAATACATTTGGGAGGTGATAGGAGATTGAATCAGAAAAGTTTTAGAGGCAGAGGTAGAGAATTTGATCAAAGGATCTAACTTTTGTAGTGGTGGTAACTTCAGCACTGTTTTCATTATGGATAGCAGGGATGCACCCAGAGGTGCTCGTGGTGAACCCGGTTCTCCCAGTCAAGCTGGCCCCACTGGTATTGCTGGTGTCCCTGGCTTCCCTGGTGCCTGTGGTGCTCCTGGACCTCAGGGCCCCAGAGGTTCCCCTGGACCTAAGGGTAACAATGGTGAACCTGGTGCTCAAGGAGACAAAGGAGAACCCGGTGCTAAGGGAGTACCTGGCCCAGCTGGCATTCAGGGATCCACCCTGGCAGGTTCCTCAATACCAACCACAACTTTCAAGCTATACCCACACCCAACAACCTCAGCCTAATACACAGATGGTTCATGTTTTAATACTTTATATATAGTTTTGATAGATAAAACAGTATTAATGCTGGCTCTTAGAGGATGTACAAGCTGAAGTTGGGACCTAGACATTGTTTGCATAGGCTGCGCAATGTGAAATAACTAAAATAAAATAGGATAATAAGTATGCTTAGTCAATTTGTAACGTGGTATCATAGAGGCATCTGCAATAAAATAAGTGGGTTTCCAGGACCTGACAAGTGAGGGCAACTTAATATAACATATGTCTACAGTTTCCTGACCCTTCCTTATCAGAGGCCACTTGCAACCTTAACACAGCAAGACAACTCTTCTGAAACCTGTATTAAACAAAGAACTTTAGAACAATAGTAATTCATTTCGTTTCTCTAGTTGTTCTGAAAAAAAAATATTGTTTAAGTGGGATAACTGTATGGAGGATCCACCATGTATTAAAACATGATCACACACATACAGAATTGGTGGCTTTTTGGACATCGGGATCTATAAAAGGTTTCGGTTTCCAAAGATGTTATCAGGGTCCACAAAACTGACAGACTTCAGCATGCCAATTTTATTAAAGTAATTAATTGAAATGATCAAATCAAGGTTTAAGTTTAAGAACAGCATTTTATTGGGAATTATACCAATATGTATATGTTAGTGGTTTAGTACCCAACAAGCATTTATATAGAATGAGTGTTTCTCTCATCCACACAAAGGCATTCTAAAGGGAAATTATGTATTAAAATTTTATAAAGGACAAATTCAATGAATTATAAGCAAAACTGAGAGAAGTACATGTTACACTAGTTAAGAGTTTAACTTTAGTCTCTAATTTGAGTTTAGCCTAGATAATTAATTTATTGATGTCGTACTGATCCTTGTGTTTGTATGATTATAGAGACCGTACTGGAGTATTTGTGCCGCCTGATATTTGGGACTACACAACAATCTCTCTGGCTGACCTACCTTCCTACCTACCTTTTTTGCAATTAAATCGGTTTTGTCAAAAACCATGCCGGCCGAAGAAACTGAGATGCAATAAAATAAGGTATTTGTAAATATCTTGTTTTGATCAAATATACATGTGTTATATAACGTAGAATTATAATGAGGGCATAAACTAACTTGGAAAGTCCTGAAGATGCAGTGCTGTCTAATGCCGCTATTTCTGTATTACCCTTTTAACAATTGGGGTGTTGCACAGAGTATTGTGGTGAACATCCAGCAAACAGAAGAATTAAGAACTATGTGGAAGCTGACATTGTCTTGTTGTCAGCCATATTGCTACCCTTAGCTATGTTATGGTGTCTAAGATTATGGAACAAAGTTTATGGTGTCTAAGATTCTTTATACTCTTTGAAAGACATAATATTTTTCTGGACTATGCTGGACTATTGAACTATTTTATTATTTTTATTTTTGTAGAGTTACCCGGAGAGAGAGGAAGTGTTAGCTTACTCAGGCATGGATGTACTATGTGAGTCATTGATGTATGTTGAGTGTACCAAGGATGGATTCCCATGTATTAAGTGTGGATATGACTGGACCATCGAAATAGGGATTTGATTAGGAGGCATAGGACGCAAGGTCATGATTGGGATTATTGCTAGAATTGCAAACTGATTAGAAATGAACTAATCAAGAAGTGTTTCCCAATCCCGATACCCGAGCTATTTACTTACAAGTGCAGGTTTTATAAGTCACTAATGCTGTCAACATGAGGGGATGACATGTCTACACAGTCATGGCCCTCACTTAGAATTTACCCAGATGTGCTTTTTTCCTCAACTATGAGTTTTTGCCACTGGGTTTTTTGACCTGGCCCAAGTTCAGTGGGTGGACTGGTAATCCAAGACCCTGGTCCAAAGAGGGGAAATAGATTTTATTCCCATTTTTGATTATATATGTTTACGTTGTGAATTATAATAATAATATTCCCGTTGTTGGGAATAATACACTTTGCCTGTTTTGATCCAAGGCTCAAGTTACAGATAACATGATGTGCAGTCTGTTTAAAATTGGTTAACATGTCAGCTGTTTGAAATATTTAACTTGTACACTTAAAAGATGTGTACAACAGATGATTACAGAAGCTGAAAATGACAGCTCGATCTCCTCTTAAAGGGAAAACCTACGGCACAGAGCAAATGGGGGAAATCGAGGTGAAGAAATAATGAAAGTCCCGCAGACTTGATTAGCACGTCTGAATATACCTCCTTTCGTTTCTCTGCCGCAGACCTCCCATGGATATTCCGTAAGGTAGATCACGATATGATCTAAAGAGAGGAATTGTAGGATATGAATATCCATTTTGCTTAATATCCTAGCTGTTCATATAAGGGTTAATTTGAACCAAGAATAAATTTGGAATTGTATCTTCGATTCTGGGAAGAATTTATCTAATATCATTTATGAAAATGATCATACTGATTTTGAAATGTCCTTGTTAATTGTCCAAGATTAAGGTATTTGTAAATATCTTGTTTTGATCAAATATACATGTGTTATATAACGTAGAATTATAATAAGAAACAGCTGCTCATAACTTGCATAACTTGTGAAAAACAATGTCATTGTCACGCCCATATGCTCATTTTTCCCCTCCCATCCTGCTATGAAAATGGGGTATAAATATAACTGACGTATGAATACAATTTGAATTGGTTATTGAACACGTCTCTGTTATTCATTTCCAATTTCCAGAGCTCTGAATGAGTTGGCAAATATCCATCATCCACAAAGGGCCCGGGCTGATTTTATCCCCAACATGCTTGAAGATAATTAGTTTTATTCAGTTGAACTGCTTGCTATAAGTTATTACAAAATGTAAAGGGCCAGTTTTATTATTAATTCCATATTGTTTTTTCTTCATGAACATGTAGGCTCTGATATCCCATTGTTTTAGGAGAATGGGAAGGCTTTTGATATATTGGAAAGACTATAGCAGTGCATGTCCAGCCTATTTATCAGAGTCCTAGAATTCAATTAAAAATCATGTTCACTTCTGCAGTTCCTTTTTCCGTGTATTATTATTATTTTATTATTTATATAGCACCAGCAAATTCCATTGCACGTGGACTAACAGACACGTAATTGTAACCAGACAAGTAGACGCACAGGAACAGAGGGGTTGAGGGCCCTGCTCAATGAGCTTACATGCCAGAGGGAGTGGGATATAGCGACACAAAGGGTATAAGTAGGGGTATGAAGTAGGTTGCTAGAAAAGTATTCACTGAGAACTTATTTTTGACAGTTGGAGGAGAGGAGTCATGGGGGGGAGGAGGGGGAATAAAAACCCATTAACAGTTTAAATGATATGATTCCTGAAGAAGTTTGTTTTCAAAGATTTTTTGAAGGAGTGGAGACTGCGTGAAAGTCTAAAGGAGAAGGGAAGGGAGTTCCACATAAAAGGTGCAGCCCTGGAGATAAATGGTTGGTTGTATGTGGCAGCTCTCTGCATGTAGCAGAGTGTGATAATAATATTCCATATTAATTAAGAATGATTGATTGATCACTAATGAGCAAATTAAACTCTTATAGATAGTTAAGATGGCGCCAGTAAGCACACACAGGCAATATCACAATATCACTAGATCTAAGCCTGGATGCCACAGCTACTAATACAGACCTGGCATGGCATTGT